GATACAAGGAGAATAGAACATCAGGGAAGAGAGAGGTAAGGTTTAAAAACAAAAAGAGGAGGCATTAGGGTAAGATATAAAACATTTTGGGGAGGATGATGGGTAATGAAGCTAGGCAAGGGTCGAAGGGGTAGGGGAAAGGGTTTAAAAATGAGTTTTTATGTTCGGGCAGAAGTTTGTGGTTACGGAAAGTGGGTGCAGGGGGGAAAAGGAGCGATTGGTGGAATGATGAGTAAAGGAAGAAGGGAGAAAAAGTTAGCTAGAGAATTTTTAAAAGTAGAAGTGATGCAAGGGGGGAAGGTAATGGAGAAAAAGAGAATTAAAGAGGGGGTGAAGCAATGTAAAAAGAGGCAAATGAGAAGGGGGGGTAAAGTTATCAACAAATTTTTTTGAAAAAAAGAAAAGTTTTTATGAGATTAACAAATTAAGAAAGCCTAAGAAAAAGGATTTGTCGTTAAAAAAGGAGAGGGAGTTATTAAATGGAGGGTTTGAGGGTTTTGGGAAGATGGAAGGGAAAATTTTTAGGAAATTTAAATTTTATGAAGATGGGGGCTGTGATTTCGGTATAGGGCAAGGGGAATAACTCTTGTAGGAGTGAGGAAAAGCCAGTTGTGAGTGTGGGGGAAGTTCGGAGGCAGTAGTAAATGAAAGGGGGTAAGGCAGCCGGGGTTGATGGGATAAAGAAGAAAATTTTAAAAACAGGTGGGGAATAGTTTTGGGGTGGTTGGTGCAATTATTTAAAAAGTATGGAAAAGGGTAAGGTACCTAGGGGTTTGGGAAGAGCATGCATAGTTCCTTTTATAAAGGGAAAGGGGGTAAAAGAGATGCAAAAATTATAGGGGGATAAGTCTGTTGAGTGTACCTGGTTTAAAATGTATGGGGAAATTATAATTTTAAAGAATTAAGTAAGACGGGGAATAGAAGCAATGAACAAGGAGGCTTTTGGAAAGGTAGGGGGGGGTGTGGCCAGGTGTTTAATGAAACATATAAGTGAACAGTATTTAATAAGGTTAAGAGGTCTTTGGGCATTTTTGGATTTGGAAAAGGCATATGACAGGGGGGATAGGGGGGGAATTTGGGAGATGTTGCAAGTGTATGGTGAGGGGGTAGGGTTCTGAAAACAGTTAAGAGTTTTTACGAGGTATGAGGCTCAAGTTAGAGTTGTAGGAAAGAGGGGAAAATTTTTCCAGTAAAAAAATAGGGCCCTTTGACAAGGATTGTGATTCACCTGGTTTTTTTAATATATTTATAATGGGGTTGAAAGGAAATAAATGCGAGGGTCTTTGGGAAGAGCTTGAGTTAAAAAAAAAGAATCACACAAAAGTGGGATTTCACAGCTGCCTTTTTGGACACTGTCCTTGGGGGATTCTGAAGAGAATTTCAGAGATTGGTGGTGAATTTGGTAGGGTGTGCAAAAAAAGAAAATTAAAAGGGGAATCAGGAAAGAGTAAGGTATGAGGAAACAAAAAGATTTGGTGATGAAAGATTGAATATCAGATGAAGGGAGAGATATGGAGGGGTGAACGTATTCAGATATTGGGAGTGGCTGTCAGTGGATGGGTCATGAAAGATGAGGTGAATCATAGAATTGATGAGGGAAAAAGAGTGAGTGGTGCACTTAGGAGTCTGTGGAGACAAAGAATTTTTGCCCTTTGGGAGGCAAAGAGGGAATGAAATGAGAGTATAGTTTTCCCAAACGCTCTTATAATGGGTGTGAAGCGTGGGGATGAATGTTGCGCGCAGGAGAAGGCTGGAGGCAGTGGAGATGTCATGTCTGAGGGCAATGTGTGGTGTGAATATAATGCAGAGAATTCGTAGTTTGGAAGTTAGGAGGAGGTGCGGGATTACCAAAACTGTTGTCCAGAGGGCTGAGGAAGGGTTGTTGAGGTGGTTCGGACATGTAGAGAGAATGGAGCGAAACAGAATAAACCTTCAAGAGTGTATCAGTCTGTAGTGGAAGGAAGGGGGGTAGGGGTCGGCCTGGGAAAGGGTTGGAGGGGGGGGGTAAAGGAGGTTTTGTGTGCGAGGGGCTTGGACTTCCAGCAGCATGCGTGAGCGTGTTTGATGGGAGTGAATGGAACAAATGGTTTTTAATACTAAACGTGCTGTTGGAGTGTGAGCAAAGTAAAATTTATGAAGGGATTCAGGGAAACCGGGCAGCCGGACTTGAGTCCTGGAGATGGGAAGTACATTTGCCTGCACTCTGAAGGAGGGGTGTTAATGTTTGCAGTTTAAAAACTGTAGTGTAAAGCACCCCTTCTGGCAAGACAGTGATGGAGTGAATGATGGTTTAAGTTTTTTCTTTTTCGGGCCACCCTGCCTTGGTGGGAATCGGCCGGTGTGATAATAAAAAAAAAAAAAAAAAAAAAATTATTGTTATCATTACGTTAATTCTTCTTCTTCCTCCTCCTCTCTTCTTGCTCCTCTCCTCCTCTTCTTGCTCCTCCTCCTCCTTCTCCCCCACCTCCTCCTCCTCTTTCTTCTCCTCCTCCTCCTCCTCTTCTTCCCCTCCTCCTCCTCCTTCTTCCTCCCTCCTCTCTTGCCTCCTCCTCCTTTGCTCCCTCCCTCTGCCTCCTCCTCCTCTGCCCTTCCTCCTCCTCCATTCTTGGAACAATTTTGAAGAGCTTGTATTCATAATCACTTCATTATCATCACCATGCTCACATCTGAGTCTGGGATTTTGGAAAATAGGATTTCCTCTTTGATTCGGTACAATTGAACGACGGCCCACACCAGAGGTGGAAGGCTGTGGGTTGTCGGGGTTTTTCCTCACTATTACCCATATTATGATCATTATTTCGGTCAAAACCTCACCAGAACCTTGAAACTCATCTTCAATGTCACTTCCATCTGTATTAAAAACTGTCACTGGGGAACAAAAGTGTCCCAATTCGCCGAGGAGTGAGGAACTTCTTACCGCAGGGCACGGTGGAAATTGGGGTACTATGATGGCATTCCCACAATGCACCACTGGGTCCCAGATTTTTTTCCTACTGCGCACACCCACCACACAGACCCATTCTCTCACATCTAGGCTTATCAGCCTTTTCCTGCGAGATTTGAGGCCGCTAGAATTTATGCGTACTAGTACGACAAAAACCCCTACGCGTAAGACGTACTAGTACGACCAAAACCCTCAAAGGGTTAAGGGTCATGTGGAGGTGTCCTGAATGGGTGGGCCATTGGTCTAAGCCGGGGGTTGACATGGATCTGCCCTGTATGGGCCAGTAGGCCTGCTGCAGTGTTCCTTCTTTCTTATGTTCTTATATCTCTGGATGAACACCTCGCTGCCCATATAATTCAAGTTGCTAGACAAAAACCTCACAATACAGTGGACCCTCGACCAACATTGGCATCGTCTAACATTAAATCCGACTAGCGATACATTTTAACGCAAAAATTTTGCCTCGACTTGCGCTAAAAAACCCGACCAACGCTATTCGTTCTGTTCGAGACGCGTCCACTTTGGCCTGAGCGCCTCACTTGTCCCGTGGGTGCCAGTGTTTACAAGCCAGCCAGCCACCACGGTCCCATCCAAACATACAATCGGAACATTTCATATTATCACAGCATTTGTAGTGATTGCACCTGCAAAATAAGTCATAAAGGAACGGGAGGTACAGGCCTCTATGGACAGATATGTTGTGCGACAGAGGTCCAGTGACTCTCAAGCTGGTCCTAGTGGCAAAGAAGAAGGGAAGTAACCCCAGAAAAGGACTTGCTACCTCAAGTCCTAATGGAAGGGGATTCCCCTTCTAAACACTAAGACCATCAACACACTCCCCTCCTCCCATCCCATCAATCATCACCAGATCTTCAGTATAGGTAAGTGTTATGTAACTGTAAATGTGCATGTCTTCTTCAGTTTGTGTGTATTAAAATTAATATTTCATGTAGTAAAAACAATTTTTTTTTCATACTTTGGGGTGTCAGGAACGGATTAATTTGATTTCCATTATTTCTTATTGGGAAAATTAACTTGACTAACGATAATTTTGACTAACGATGAGCTCTCAGGAACGGATTAATAGCGTTAGTCGAGGGTCCTCTGTACTCTTAAACTCTTTTAAAGTTAATTTTAAATAGTTGCCATGTTCTAATGTAGTATCAAAACAAATCCATTAGCAATCAATTAAATTGGCTTAATTGACCTTTTAGTAGATAAATTAACAAATTTTCAAAAAATCCATTAATAATAATGCCAATACTGTAATGACTGGATCAATGTTAAAATGTTATTCTTGCCACTATCTTAAACTCCACAAATGTTCATCATATTGATGCAGCTTAAGAGATTCATTCTGACTTAAACATTATGGAGTTGAGGGCATCACATGAGAATACAGCCTCTCCTTGCTTAGCAAAGTACTCGTTTACCAACAACTCGGACTTACGACTGGCTCTCTGACCATTATGCATACCTAAATAATGTATGTCAGAGCTGATTTCCTCTATTCTGTTTATTACAATATGCAGTACAATACTGTATAAACATTTAAAAATATACCAGAAATGTTATAAATGGTGCAAAGGTGACATTAAAACAGCATCATAGATGGTTGACACAAACTTACTACCATTGTAGTACGCTCCTCACTTAGTGATGAATTCGTTTACCGACGTGGTCTTAGGAACGGAACTCCATCATTGAGGAGAGGCTGTAGAGAGTTGAGGGTGTCACGTGGAGGTAGAGTTGAGGGTGTCACGTGGAGGTAGAGAGTTGAGGGTGTCACGTGGAGGTAGAGAGTTGAGGGTGTCACGTGGAGGTAGAGAGTTGAGGGTGTCAAAGTGGAGGTAGAGAGTTGAGGGGTCACGTGGAGGTAGAGAGTTGAGGGTGTCACGTGGAGGTAGAGAGTTGAGGGTGTCACGTGGAGGTAGAGAGTTGAGGGTGTCACGTGGAGGTAGAGAGTTGAGGGTGTCACGTGGAGGTAGAGAGTTGAGGACGTCATGTGGCAATAGAGAATTGAGGGCATTACACAACAATCAAAATACTTTCCCAGGTGGGTATCAAGACTGCAAAGCGCAACTCCAAGAAGACCGAGGAGAAGATAGCTGGAATGGAAGCAGAAATTCTAGAACTTCAAAATGAATTGCTGGGCCTTCAGACTACTAGAACAAGTATTGAAGGAGAAGCTGCACAGGTGCTGGAGCACTTGCAGTCTCTTACAGTAAGACCCTTACAGTTTTGCTTTCACTCGTACGCATGCACAAACATTGACACGAGAAACACAGTGAGGCTGGTTCAGATATAGTACGTACAACCTCAAAGTTTTTATAGAAGGCAGATTTGTAGACTCAACTTTATATGATTAGTTTCTAGTCTCTTATATTTTTATGCATTTATATTTCTTGTACTGCAATCTGTAGAAGAATCATGTCGGTTAAAACTTAAAATCATAAAGCTCTCTTCTCCCGCCCTTCACTCATGTAAAGTGCCTTGGGTATAGTTAGTACATGTAGGTAATATTTGTCTCACCCTCACAGTTGGTGCAGCTGTGATCATTTTCAGTATAATACATACAGTAGACCATCATTTAACACTGTGCAAAGGTTTGCAACAAGGCTAGTTCCAGAGCTAAGGGGAATGTCCTATGAAGAAAGGTTAAGGGAAATCGATCTGACAACACTGGAGGACAGGAGGGTCAGGGGAGACATGATAACGACATACAAAATACTGCATTGAATAGACAAGGTGGACAGAGACAGGATGTTCCAGAAATGGGACACAGAAACAAGGGGTCACAATTGGAAGCTGAAGACTCAGATGAGTCAAAGGGATGTTAGGAAGTATTTCTTCAGTCATAGAGTAGTTAGGAAGTGGAATAGTCTGGCAAACGATGTAGTGGAGGCAGGAACTATACGTAGTTTTAAGACGAGGTATGATATAGCTCGTGTACCAGGAGGAGAGGATCTAGTAGCAGTCAGTGAAGAGGCGGGGCCAGGAGCTGAGTCTCGACCCCTGCAACCACAATTAGGCGAGTACTGAAGTTACGTTCCTAAAAGTGCCGTGTTAGGTAAAAACTGTTAAATGAACTGAAGAACTTATAGGAAAAATAGGGTTACATGTGCATAAAGCCTGTAATGATTTCTGTTCTATTTTACCCAGCAGTATGTTATACAACTGACCGTAAGGCATCAGCTGCTCTAGACACAGTTTCAGGGTCCTCTTCAGTGAAAAAGTCTAACTTTAAGTCAATCAAGTCAGTCAGTCAGTAATTCAGTCAGTCAGTAATTCAGTCAGTCAGTAATTCAGTCAGTCAGTAATTCAGTCAGTTAGTAATTCAGTCAGTCAGTAATTCAGTCAGTCAGTAATTCAGTCAGTCAGTAATTCAGTCAGTCAGTAATTCAGTCAGTCAGTAATTCAGTCAGTCAGTAATTCAGTCAGTCAGTAATTCAGTCAGTCAGTCGGTTAGTAATTCAGTCGGTTAGTAATTCAGTCAGTCGGTTAGTAATTCATATTTACTTCATTCTTATGTGCACAAAGTGATGCTTCATTATGGCCACTGGCTCTCTCTTGTTTACTATCTCTATTTTCTTCATTAATTCTTACACATAAACACTTATACCTTTCCTTGCCACTTTCAGCAACACTTGTATGCCTACTGGGTGTCATGATTGCTTGGCAGATTTAAGATTTGGCAATTAAAATGTGTATCTAAACAAACACAGGGAGCTCCCAGAGGACTGTCCTACACACGTATGAACCGAACTGATGGCTGGGAGGGTGGTAGGGGATGGCGGTAGGTCTTCCCTGTTGTCTCAGTGGTGTAACCCACAGCTAGTCCCGCGGGGGACTGCTCGCTTAAAAATTTTTCCCCTTCCGCAAACTGAAACGTGTTAAGTTAATTTTATGAAGTGTTGTATAAAATTGTGCTGCAATTCTTCAGTCGTGCTATAACCAAATCATGCCAAATAAACCCATGTTAAATGACGGTCTACTATACGGAGACTAGTGTTTCCCTACTTGACCACATCTGGACCAACACCATATCCCCTTTAAAATCAGGCATAATTACAGATAATACCATAGACCACTACCCTACTTTCCTCATAACAACTCTTGGTAAAATACCCCAAGACACTACTAAAGTCACCTTCAGACTTCTCAATGAGGCAGCCATTAATAACTTCACAACAGCAGTAACAAACATTGACTGGCACACTGAGTTAGAAATCTATACAGATATTGACGAATGTTTTAATAATTTTCTAAAAAAGACCCAATACCTCTATAACAAGCACTGCCCTAAAAAAACTAAACAGATGACAGCTAAGAGACTGAACAGTCCCTGGCTAACACCCAGCATTCTCAAATCCATAAATACAAAACACCGATATGAAAAACAGTACAGAATGGGTCACATAACCAAACAAAACGTTACTTGTCAATCCTAACCAGCCTGATAAGAAGGGCAAAAAAACTGTATTATGAGAACAGATTATCCAACTTACGAGGTGATATAAAAAAGACCTGGAAGACCCTATCAGAAATTCTGGGAACAAAAAAGATATCACGAAATAGCGAAATAAAATTAGCAAAATCAGATGAACCCCAACTCCCACCAACAGAAACAGCAAACAGACTCAATGATTTCTTCTCCACTATAGGACAAATCCTTACCAATAAAATCCCAAGCTCAGATACCCCACCAAATGACTACCTCACTGGCAACTACCCGAACACACTGTTCCTAGCTCCGACTAACCCATATGAAGTCTCCCTTATTATCAACACACTAAAAAACAAGGCAGGAGATTTAAATACCTTACCACCCTTTATATACAAAAAAGTGTCACAAGTACTATCACCAATCATTGCAACACTCTTTAACAAATCCATTGAATCCTCCACCTTCCCTACAGCTCTCAAAATAGCAAGGGTCATCCCGATCCATAAAGGAGGAGACCAAACAGAGTTGAATAACTATAGGCCAATATCCAATTTACACCCTCTCTCAAAAATCTTCGAAAAATTAATTCATGAACGAATCTACTCCTACCTCATCTCCCAAAACATTCTCAACCCCTGCCAATTTGGATTCAGGCCTAATAAAAATACTAATGATGCTATTATACACATGCTAGAACATATATACACTGCAATAGAGAAAAAAGAAGTCCCACTGGGGATCTTCATTGACTTACGTAAAGCTTTTGATACAGTTGACCCTGACTTGCTCCACGTAAAATTGTCACACTATGGTATTAGAGGGCACTCCCTCAACTACCTCAAGTCATACCTCAGCAACAGAAGCCAATATGTGTATGCAAATGGGGCAAGCTCTTCCGCTCAACCAATTACAGTTGGTGTCCCACAGGGAAGTTTCCTGTTCCCTCTTCTCTTTCTCCTATACATAAATGACCTACCAAATGCTTCGCAATTATTCAAACCCACACTTTTTGCAGATGACACTACATACGTCTTCTCTCACCCGAGCCCAGTCACGCTAGCCAATACTGTAAACACTGAATTACAGAAAATATCTACCTGGATGAGGACTAACAAACTTACACTAAACATTGACAAAACCTACTTCATTCAGTTTGGTAACAGAGCTACAGATGTACCTCTTAACATAACGATAAACAGATCACCTATCACAAAGCTAACAGAGGGAAAATTCTTAGGAATCCACCTTGATAATAGACTCAAATTTTATACACATATACAACAAATTTCTAAGAAAATTTCCAAGACTGTAGGCATACTATCGAAGATACGGTACTATGTTCCACAGTCAGCCCTCCTGGCCCTTTATCACTCTCTTATTTACCCCTATCTCACCTATGGAATTTGTGCATGGGCTCAACAACAATTAACCATCTCAGACCACTAATTACCCAACAAAAGGCTGCAGTTAGAATGAAAACAAATTCTCACTACAGGCAGCACACCCACCAATATTCAAAACACTCCACCTACTCACCAAAAACAAAACATCCATACTTATTACTGCACCTATTACATACATAGAACACTTAACCTGATATTAACCCTCCCCCTAAACCCATCCCTTGCCAACCTAAACAGAACACATGACCATAACACAAGGCACAGATCACTCTTTGATGTTCCTCATGTCCATCTCACGCAATGCAAAAACTCAGTGCACATAAAAGGCCCTAAAATGTGGAATTCATTACCTGTAAATATAAAAGAAACACCACCTGTTTTATAAATTCAAGTCTCTTCTCAAAGATCACTTACTCACTCAAAACCAATAAATACGAATAACTGAACCTTATAAATTGTATATCCTATAGGTTACTCGCAATTATATCACATAAATGTTAAACCTAGGACCCAGTCTAACTGTTATTTTTTTAAATACACTACCTAACAGAATACTCCATTGGGACTGAATGTACAGAAAATGCATCAACCAATGACCTTCTTTGTAATACTCTTTTTGTGTTTTGGGTAGTTATCTGTTTACAATAATGTTTTATCACTGATTTCATCATTGCTTAGTTTATCTTAAGTTAATTTTAAGCCAGCCCGTAATGCTATGCATATAAGTGGCTTTGGCATGCGCTCTTACCTGTATTTTTTGTACCTCTGTATGTATGCTTAAATTACTAAATAAATAATAAATAAATAAATAAATATATAATTTTTAATTTTCTTGATGTGTCACACTTCACCATTAATGGGTAGGATGTGCAAGCATTAAATTTGCATATACAGTGGACCCCCGCATAACGATGGCATCACATAGCGATTTTTCCGCATACCCGATTACTTTTTATCGCAAAATTTTTGCCGGGGCATACCGATTAAAAACCCGCTTACCGATTTTCGTCCGAGACGCGTCCAATGTGCCCTCAGCCAGCCTCACATGTGCCGGCCGTCCCATTGTTTACCAGCCAGCCTCCGCGGTAACATCCAAGCATACACTCGGAATATTTCGTATTATTACAGTGTTTTCGGTGCTGTTTCTGGAAAATAAGTGACCATGGGGCCCCAAGAAAGCTTCTAGTGCCAACCCTGTGGTAAAAAGGGTGAGAATTAGTATGGAAATTAAGAAAGATTTTGAAGGGTTTGGGGCTAACCCTGAGAAGCCCATGCCCGTTGTGGAATCCATTGTGCCTACTTCAAAGATTAAGAAATGTGTGCACAGTGGGTTGAACTGCAAACCTTTATAGATGAAAATCACCCTGACACAGC